AGGTCTTCCAGCAGCTTGGGCACAGTTACAGTGGAGAAGCAGAGATCCAAGAATGACAGATTACTCAGGAAGAAATACATGGGTGTGTGGAGACGGGAATCAGTCCTGATTACCAGCAGCATCATCAGGTTCCCCATTATGGTCAGAATGTAAATTATCAAGAAGAGCACAAAGAGCAGAGCCTCCAGGTGGGGCTCATCAGACAGGCCAGTGAAAATAAACTGAGTGACGGTGCTGTGGTTCTTCATGGCCATTTATGGAGGGTATATCCTTGGGGTAAAATAGTAAAATGGGTGAGATTTCCTGTGTTTGCCTCTGTCTCCTTCAGGACATCATTCAATCTTAATTTTTGAGTTAAAGAACCCCCTTGGGTTTTTTTAAAAAAGATTCTTTTATTAACTTCTAGTTCAGTTGTACTGTGATTGTAGAATCTTTATGCTGTTGGCATTTTTGAACTTATTGATGTTTTCTTTGTGGCCTTAATATATGATTAATTTTTGTGAATGTTCTGTGTCTACTTGAAGAGATATATTTTATTTGATAAGGTTTAGTATCCTGTAAAAATTGATGAAATCTAATTAATAGTAAATAAGAAATATTAAATAAAGCAATCATTGATTCTTTGTAATTAAAGAAAATGCTTCCTGGTGGGGCAGGAAGTAATTTTGAAATAACCAGAAACAAATAATAGCCCAAAGCCTTTGATTAGTCATTGTAATCAATCAATTACACTAATCAATGGCAATTAGTGCTTTATTTTATTTTATATACAGCATTCATACATGACATTTTATATATGAATGATTATATGAAAAACCAGTATGATTTGTAAACCTTCACCTTAAATCTTTAGCCTGTCCAATCTGCTTCTTCCTCATTTTATATCCCTCGGCATTTGGTTCTATGGATTCCGTTTCTTTTAAATATAATGGTAAGTTTCCTCCTTCAGCCTGTGAGTTCGTAGGGAACATAGACCATATTTAATAGAATTTCAAATAAAAGCAGTTATTGTTGTGTGCTGTCAAGTTTACTATGACAACAGTGAGCCTATGCACAATAACCCTGAACCCTGTTTCACTCTGAGCCAATCTCACTCTCTCTGACACACCTAAACCTCATTACCCCAGTTTCTTGTCAGTCCATTTTATGCAGGGTTTTCCTCTCCTGCACTTTCCATCCACTCTTCTAAGCCTGATGTCCTTCTCCAAGAACTAGTCTCTCCTACAACATACAGTTGTTGCTGTTGAGTACCATCAAGTTGGAACTGACCCATAGCTGACCCACAAGGGTTTTCAAAGGCCATAATCGCACAGGAAGAGATTGCCCATCCCCCTGCACAACATACACATTCACAAATCATTGTTCACTGGTCTTGCTTCCACCAGTTCTGTGTTACCTTCCCATCCCTGCAAATTCCACTCGTATTATTCTTCATATTGCACCTCATGATTAAGTCTTCATATTGCACTTCATGATATCTCAGATATGATTACTTGACATAATTGCACCCTTTCACGTAAATACCTCCAACAGGGCTCTATCACAAAAGGTCTCACTTGTGACCAGCAGAATCAAAGAATAGAATCATTGTAGTGAGGTAGGAAAAGAAACGTTGAATATTATTTCTGCATGTGGTGGAGTGAATGCCCAGTATGGTAGAGATAATGTGGGAACAGAGTGTGAAGATCAGGAGGGAGATTCTAAACTCATGGAGTAATATAGAGTAGATCAGGACATTCAGGTGGGTGGATTTATTGCTCATATTTTTTGATCATAAAAGTTATCATGCTGCTTACCCATGATGTACAGAGGTTGCAGCTGCAGCTGAATTTCAAGGGTATTATTTTCTGACAGATCATGTTATTTCACATCACTGCAAAACTGCTTATGTTTATTCATTTTTGTAGAAGTTGAAGAACTTAGCTATCATATCAAAAAACTGTGTTGTGGTTCAGATGACTTCTAATTTTACTCTGTCATGGTAATCAGAGTTCTGGTGACCTAGTGGTAAGGAGCTGGACTGCCAACCCAAAGTCACATTTTTGAAGCCCACCAGTTGCTGCAAGAGTGAAAGATGGTCAATTTCTTCTTTACTGCTGTTAGTGATTTACTGCTTCTGAAAAACCCAGCACACAACAACAACAACAACAAAATACCTATCTGTATATTCAAATAGATACAGTTTTTGCTATGTGCCCTGAGTTGAAACTGACCCATAGCTGACCCTGAAGCAGGTTTTCAAAAGCTGTAAGGTGGGAGCTCTGGTGGCTTAGAGATAAGGAGTTGTGCTAGCAGCTTACAGAAATGAGGCTTGAATTCATTAGCTGCTCAGTGGGAGAAAAATGCACAATCTCCTCCTGGGCGATTTATGGCCACTGACAAGACTGGAGGATCAGCTATGAGTGAGTTCTGACTCACTGGTATACAACAACAACAACAACTAATACAGGAGGAGATTGTTGATCATCCTCTTGCAGAGCAGCGGGTGAATTTGAAATCCTGCATTTGGCTTGGCAGTAGAACCCTTTACCCTTTAGATTATTACAGCTCTCTTTCATCTATATATCTATCTGCTTAGCTTTTTCTTTTGTTCTTTCTTTTTTGCTTAATCTTATCTTATATTCTCTTATCCTACATTTCAAGTATTTCTCCAAGGAAACCAGAATGATGGACAGTTTATGTTAGTTGTTGTTGTTAAGTGCTGTTGAATCTATTTTGACTCAGTGATAACTACCTTATAGAATTTTATAGAATATAGATTTTCAGCTCCTTTTTATTGCTTATGTAAAGCCAGGTATATAATGGCTTATAATTTTCCATAACTCTTCTACAATTAGGATATAACTTTTCTAGGAGCAGATCGCCAACTCTTTCTCTCACAGAAACACTGATCAACATTTTGGTTAGCAGTTGAACGATTAACTGTGGTGCCAACAGGGTTCTGGTTGTATAAGTGCCATAAAAAGAAACCAATCTATTGCTGTTGAGTCATAGCAACCATAGAGGACACAGCAGCACTGCCTGCTTTAAAGGACTTCCAGGGCCACATATTTTTAAGGAAACAGACTATTATATTTAGTGGCTGATATTGTAGCAGTTATGCTATAATTAGAATGATTTTGAATCCTAATTTATGTGGCTGTGTGATAAGCAAGTTTCCCTCTCATCTGTTATTTTATTGCTCTGTGCTGGCTTGCATGTTAATATAATGTCAGAAGTATTTAATGCACTAGCACGGTGACCAATGATGCATAAGTTTCAGTTTCACTACCAGATGAAAACAGAGTACGAAGAAAGGTCTCTACATTTAGTTTTGAAAATGAGTCAGTGAAAACCTTTATGGATAACAAAAGAATATTCTCTAAGACTGGAAGTTTGTCTGATAGAGAGCTAGAATAGCCCCAACGTGGGAGGGTACTGAAAATAGACAGCAGTTGCAACCAAGAACTCAAAATACCAATAATTGTGTGTATGGTGCAAGACAAGGTAGCATTTTGTTACGTTTCACATGGGTTACCATGAATCAGAACTGAGTCATGACAACTAACAACAGAATAGTTCTATAGGAAGACTTTTTCTAGGCTTGGATGTTTTTATATTCTTAAAAGTATTCCCTTTATGTCTTACAGTCCACAAGCTAATCTTATCAGAGCCTTATAGACAAACAACTATTTCATTTATGGCCCTCTGAGAGCTCATCAATCTGAAAAACTCATTATCACTGGAATAGATCCATAGCTGACCCTCTGTTGGGTTCCAAGGTTCTAAGTCACACAGGAGGGGATTGTCCATCTTTCTCCCTTTGAGTACTTGGTGGATGCAAACTGCCAGAGTGTTGTGTGCTTTGAGTTCTCAGCATCACTCCCTATAGACTACACCATTAGAGCTTCCTTGCTCATCAATAGACGTTCACATTGTAATCCTAGTGACAAACTCATAAACCCAAGCTTAAATCCATCTTAGGCACAAACCTAAGTTACCTGTGAGCCTGCACAAGTAGGGCAACGTTCACATTTATACGCCCGCAGGAGTTGAACTTAAATCCAGTCATGGAGAAGGGCCTTATGAAAGACCTGTGTGGATAAAGTGATAAACATATTTGAAAATGAGACTTTTACCTGAAACTACACAAATGAAATAAAATAAAATAATAAACTGAAATAACCCTCTCAACAGATTTGGCTATTTCAAAGCATTTATGAATAGAACTTTCCTGAAAATTGCTCCTGTTCTTCCACTGAGGCCTGATCACAGTATCTGCAAGGGGCTTCAAGCTCTAACCTTAAGAACATTGCAACATTTCTGGAGAATTGTCATCTATTCCACCTTACATTTACATTTTGTGTGGAGAAGGAGCAACTCTATCTTTTCTGTGATTTTGGAGTCATCACAAATAAAGCACCTGTCTTCCCCCAGAGATCCTCTACTGATTTCTAAACTTTCCTTAAGGATGAAAGACAAAATTTTAAAATTTAAATCCTAGATCAACTAAGCATAAAACCAAATTGAACTTCCAATCACTATTTAGAATAACAGATATTGGCTCCCTTTCATCTGGATATACAAAAGACTGATACCAGATTCAGAACGGGGTTTGTTGGTTGGTGCTGTCAAATCTGACTGACTCATAGCAATCCTATGAACAACAGACATGAATCCTGTCCTATCCTATGCCTTCTTCATCATCTCTGACACACTTCAGGGAGCTCATCGCTGTAGTCACAGCGTCAATCCACATGAATAAAGCTTAGAGTAGGACGAAAAGTAAGGAAAAATTGAAGGGGGATGTGAGAAAAATGGCGAGAGAGGAACAAGACGTAAAAGGAAGATTTAGAAAATCTTAGGCACTCACCTATCTCACCTTGTTGCCAATACAGACAGTTCATATCCATGACATCCCTGATTATTTGATGAATTTATCCTACAAGGAGGTAGAGATTAGGAATGTGACTGTGTTAATGAATTTATAACTCGCAGTAGGATCTTGAAAATAAGAATGTTTGCATTCAGCTGTATTACAGTTGATTACAAATTCCTTTCACTAGGTTGAGTGACAAAACTAAAAAAAAAAAAGAATGCAAGAGATGCTACAACATATAAAATAACATGGTTACAAAAGAGATTTTTTATGTGCCTAACAAAGAGTCTTCCTAATAAGGATTGTTGAAAGAATTTTCTAGGATGAGTAAAGGAGTGAAGGGGGTGTGTGGAAGGTCAGTGTGGTAAGGCTGACTTGTAGGATTTAGAG